GCGCTTCCTATCCAGTATCTTCTGCAGGCCTGGGGCTTACGACATGGGGTCATTTCAGGGATAGAAGGGTCACCTCTCGTATATAATAGCGATTGGGAATTGGGGGGTTGGTGCTATATGTGGAAAGTGATTACTTTGCCACTTCATAGACAGCAAAACTGAGGCCTGCAAAGCTCATGATTTATTTAAGGCAACAGTACAGTTCAGGGACAGCTCTAGGATGAAAATCAGTCATTTCTGACCCCTCAAAAGAGTGCCAGGCCCATGAATCATCCTGCCACGAACATAAATAAAATTGCAAATTAGATGGAAAAGTCCTATCCTTTCTGACCACAGGCTACATAACCTTTTAAAACCTAGTCTTCTCCTTAGTCATGGTAGTAATTTTAAGAAATGTTTTAACTCATAAAATATGAAAACACATAACAGGATTTTCTTAAATACATACTGTTGGAGGTGTTTGTTGGGCAGTGAGCCCTGTAACTTAAACGCACAACCTCTAAGGGAGGGTCAGAAATACAGATGCATTTCCATTCCAAGTAGAAGTACACTGTCATGCTCTTTCTGCATCTTGCCTTTTTTGTTTAACGGCGTATTACAGATCATTCCACGATAACATGAAAAGATTCACCTTATTTTTTTACTGGTTACCCGTATCCCATTGCACGTAGGAATTTGTCCTATGTGAATAGTGGATTTATCATCATTTATTTAACTAGCTCCCCACTATTTCCTGAAGGCAAATCATGCTGTAGTAGTCATCCTTGACCAAATTTTTTGTGCCCTTGTGAAATTGTTAGGTTAAAAGATACGTGTCATTTAATTTTTCCTCCAGTGTAACTGATTTGTTATTATTCATTTCTTTACCTTTTTGTCTGTTTTATTCCATCTATGCGATCTATATAGTCAACTTACTGTTCTGATTTCCTAAAGATACTGATATTAGTATATGACAAATACATTTTTCCCATACAAAATAGTACTTGTTAAAGAAAAATACATGATGAGCATTTTTTATTATCTTCATTTGAGTCTTAGGTGCTGTTTCTAGTTAAGAAACAGTAAGAGTGGTTCTCAGGTTCCCTTAGCCTCCACAGATATCCGTGTGTGCGTGTGTGTGTGCGTATAAAACAGTGTAGTGGTGGAATTTTTATTTTGTCAGCAAACATCTTCATCATTGTTATACAGAATCTCAAAATCCAAACATGAACTTTTCCTCTACAAAAACATCTAAATTTATCCTCTGAGATATTTTTCCTGTCATGTTATTTTGCAGATTTTCTTTCCATATTTGGTAGGAACTTTATTGAGGTATAATTCACGTACCATAAAATCACTCATTTAAAATGTGAACTGAAAATAATTCAGTGGTTTTTAGTATATTCACAGAGTTATGCAACTGTAACTATAATCTGTTTTAGAACATTTTCATCACCCCAAAAAGAAATCCTTTAGCTGTCACCCTTCTCGAGCTCCCATCCCTAGCTTTTAAATTTTGAAAGATACTTGTGCCCTCCAAAGCAGCTTCTCAGTTATACCCCACCATCGGTCCCTCGAAGGCCAGTTTCCTCATACCCTCCCTGTATTATCAAAATATTTCATTTTGATCAGCCTCATAGGTGAAAAACACCTCCTGCTTCGATCTGCATGTATTGAATCGTGAATGGTGCCGACCATCTGTTCTCATGTTTCTTGGCTGTTTATGCTTCATCTCTGCACTGCTTTGTGGACCTATTTTAAATACAAACAAACATGTTGTTGTCACTGCTTCATTTTGATCCCGTCCACCGGGGCAGGATGCATGGGGCAAAGACTGCTAGGAAGTTAGTTCTACGGAAACAAGAGCACCCTCCAAAGAGGTTCCCCCATGCACCCAGAAACCCGCCCCGGGGCTCGTTGCCCGGGACTGACCCGTCATTACCCTGTGCCCGCCCCCCGCCATTCTTGTGTTTTGGATGACACTCCACCCTCCCCCAATGTAGGTAAAATAATTGCTCCTTGGCGGGGCGGGGGAGGGATGGACTGGGAGTTTGGGGTTAGTAGATGCGAACCATTACATATAGGATGGGCAGAGCACAGGGAACTATATCCAGTCTCCTGTGATAAACCATGATGGAAACGAATAGGAAAAAGAGTGTCTGTGTGTGTAACTAAGTGTTTCTCCGTTGGCCTCAATCTGGCTTTGTCTCAATCCATGAAACACTGTTTTTTAATGGACGTTCCATGGTCTTTGTTCTGTTAAAACCCAGTCAGCCTAGGATAAACCTGTCTTTATATGTACACCTCTTCCCTAGTCTGTGGATCCTGATAGCTTTTTCACTAGCTAGGGTCCCTGGTGAAATTCTAATAACTTCCCCAAGTTGGAGGGTCTTTGGGGAAAGCTGGAGCTCTGTTTCAGCCGGGGCTCAGACTCCTGGGAACAGGTGATTCCTCACCACCACCTCCAGGCCTGAGCCACTGTGACCTTTAGCTCCTGGTAGGTTCTTTCTGTGGGGACTGTAGCCTCCCGTGACCTCACTACCAGGGACCAGAAAGCCTCAGCCGGAGTCTGCTGTTCCTGCTGTATTTGTTAGCGATCGAGCAAAACGCCCTTTCACTACTTGTGGTGGGAAGCCCGGGGCACGCCCAACCGTTCGTCCTGAGGTACCTATACCTGACCGGAAAGATTTACTCACAGCAGGTGTGACAATAAGGTATATGTTCAAGGGAATCCCTAGCATATTTGACACCCAGCATTTGTAACACTCCCTCCTCTATACCACAAACTCATTTTCAGGATAACGTCGTGATAATCAGTCATAAGCCTAATTTTCCTGACTCACTCTATAAACAATTAGAAAAAAGAAATTTCAATTTAGAGATGATTCGATTGATACTCAAATGAGAAGCACATAGTGCCAAGTCTGTGATATTCCTGCCAGACCTACCTGACCTGAATGTCATAATGAGGAAAGCTCAGAGAGGCCAAATGGAAAGACTGGCCTGTCGTCTTCAAAAGCGTCCAGGTCCTGAAAATCCAGGGAAGACTGCGGACGTATCCCAGACAAAAGGAGAGTGAGGATAGTTAAATGCAGCTCGTGATTCAGAACGAGATCCTTTTTCTAGAAAGGACATTATTAGGACAACTGGTGAAATTTTAATGGGTCTGAGCATTGGAGGGCACTGTTGGATCAGTGTTGATTCCTGACTTTGATGACTGCATTGTGGTTACGTAGGAGAATGTCCTTGTTTGTAGGGAATATATACTAAGGGATTCGGGGTTGATGAGACAGCAGTCAGCCTCTGATTCTCAAATGGTTCAGGGGGAAAACGTCATTTGGACAATAATGTCCTTGTACCGTACTTCCGACTTTTCTCTGTTTGTGATTTTTCTTTAAATACAAAAATTGCTTTTAAAAACCTCGACGGTAATTGTAGCAATTGCTTAGAATGTAGACCAACCAAAAACTTTGGCGGAGTATTTTTTCACCAACATGCTTTAGAGTTGCTGGCACAGGTGACAGCAAAAAGCAGAGGGCTTTTCAAGTCAGTGTGGTTATTGCTTTAAAATTCCCTGCAGACGGTGCGTCCTCTATGGGGGTGCCCACCACCCACCCTCAGTACACCCTGATTACGCTGGCACGTCCTAACAACTCTTCACGGTTGTGTGTCAGAATCCTCCAAAAAATGATGGGACACAGGACACAGGGCCAGTTGAAGCCCTGGACCAAGAAGGCCTTTGGGGACAGCGTTAGGCTGCTGGGCCGGCCAGACTCTTACACGCTGTGCACACAGGGCAAGATCCAGCCCGTCCACAGCTCATTTCGCCAGGGAACAAATGTTTTTAAACATCCCCTGTGCTAATTAACAAACTCTTTGAGAGCCGAGCGTGGCAAAGAAACCCTTGAATTAGCTGCGCCTTTAGGGTGGGACTTCTGGTTAGGGTGTTTCAAATGCCAGGTAACTACCTCGGATGAATGGTCCTGATCATAACAACCACCCCTGGTGTGCAGGTTGTCCTGAGCCAGTACAGATGCTGCTCACTCAACTTCAGAGTAAACGACAAGCCTCCCCAGACTGTGGCACAGAGCAGGGAGCGCAGAGGCCCCAGTCTTTGTGGAGTAAGTGAGGCGTCCGTCCACTTGGATGTCTGCGTGCGTGTGCATCATCACCTCCACGGGACCTAAACAGACTAGATTGTCAAGGAAGGCTTTCTCCTTCTTGGAAGCAGTTTGCAGTTGAGGAAGAGACTTTGAAATGAGAGCAGTCCGCTCTGGCCCAGGGGAGGCACGAACTCTAAGTGCTGTCGCAGCCCCTCCCCGCGAAGCAAACCAGAGCTGCGGCAGGGCGACCCACCCGTGCAAAGGGGTGTTGAGTGGTTACCGTCCTTCCTCCAGTGGGGAAGGGTGCTGCTGGTGACGTCTCGGTCACTGAAAGGACCCACACGCACACTTCCTCTGCGATTGTCCCATTCAGCATGTCAGCCTGGAGAGAATCCCGTGCATCCCGTCTTGTCTCCAGCCTCCAGGCGTGCCCAGGTCTCAAGCCTTGATGGGTGTAAGAGTCACCGTGGCCCTTGTGAAGAGTTGATGTGCTGGGCTCCTGTCTGGGGTTTCTGATCCACCAGGGTGTGCCTAGGAGCGTGCATTTGTAACAAGCACCCAGTATCTGTGATGCCCATGGTCTGTGGACCCTCAGCGAGCCCTGATCCAGTGGCAGAAACATGCGGCTTGTGGTCAGAAAGCCCAGATTTGCCTTCGCAGCTCATGCTTCTCACACTGAGTGGGACCTTGGGCCGGTTGCCGGAGCTCCCCAGGGCCCAGGTTCACCCCAGCATCCAGGGTCTGTGTTGGGGATCAAATGTGGTAGGGAGGAAAGCACTTGACAAACAGTGAAGCTCTGCAGAAGGATGGGGACCTGGCCTTGGTCCTTACGTCCACCTTGATGTGGTACTCGTGGGGGCTGCAGCGCTTTCGGTGCGTCCTGGCCAGTTTTTTAAGTGTCGCTCTCCCTGTCCCCAGCCTTCCATGCGGCGAAGTGCGAGAAGCTGCAGAGAGAGAAGGTGGAGCTGGAGCGGCGCTGTGAGGATGAGGTGCGCAGGCTGGGCTGGCGGCAGCAGGCCGAGCTGCGCGACCTGGAGCGGCGGCTGCAGCTGCAGTTCGAGACCGAGGTGGCCCAGCTCCAGGAGGAGCACCGCACACAGCTGCTGCGGATCGGGTGTCAGCACCAGCGGCAGGTCAGTCTGCGCCCCGGCCCGGGCCCTGTCCCTGCCGTCGTCGTTGTCGTCGGGAGACGTGGGTGGGAGGTGGAGGGGAGCCGCTTTGACCAGGAGTCCGTGCAGCAAGCAGGTGAGCTTCCGGTCAGGGCTGCTCTCCTCACCTCGTTTCTCTCCTCTGTCCCCTCCCGTCGTCCCCGGCAGCCACTCTGGTCTCCCTGCCTTGTGCTCCCAGGCACACTCCCACCTCCGGGCTTTTGCTCGCTGTGCCCTCTGCCTGGAATGCTCTCCCTCTAGAAACCCCATGGCTCCCTCTCTCCCTCCCTTGCAGACTTTTCTCAGTGAGGCCTTTCCTGATCCAAAATCACAGCTCCTTCCCCACGTTGTGCACACTCTTCCTGTTTAGTTTTTCCTCGTCACTTACTACTACCTAATGTATGAGAACTTTTACTTTGTACCCTATTGATCTTCTGCGTTTTCCACAAGGACAGTGATGATGACAGACACATGTGTATCTAGCACGTGCTGTGTGCCAGGCCCTGCTCTTCCCTCTTTACATGTACTAACTCATTTAACCCCCACGATAACTCTTAGAGGGAGTACCATTATTGTCCCCATTTTACAGGTGAGAAAACTGAGACCTGGAGGTTAAATAACTTGCCAGCATTCACGCTCATGAAAGAGCCAGGGTTGGACCCAGTCTGATCCCAGGGTCCGTGCTCTCGAGCACTGAACTAGAGTTTTCTGTCGGGTTTACTGCTAAATCTCTGGCACAGGACTGCCTGCCTGCACAGAGCGAGCCTTCAGTGTGTATTTGCTGAATGAAAGAAGGATTCCGCTCATTAACCTTAGCCCAGCAGTCTTCCTAGAAAGGGTCATTCATCCTGGCATAGCTGGGGAAGAATTCCCAGGGAGTCTGTCAGCCTGAAAGCAGGTAGGAGCCTGGCGTGCCCATGCCCACGGCTAGCTGCCGTGTCCGTTACCGTGTTGGCGCTGGTGTGACAGGCAGGTTAAGACGAGACCATTCTGCTTCCGAGAGAGCTCGTATGCCCCTCCCTCTTCTCTTCCTCCTAAGTCCCCAAGGCTCTGACGCCTTAATGCCCACCTTCTAATTGTGTATCGTTACCCCTAGTCTGCTCATGGTATCCCTAAGGCAAACTGGCATTTGTGAAGAGCTCACTTTACATCTCAGGCTGGTGCCGAGTGGCCCTTCACTATCATGAACGTTTGGGCTGCCTCCCCGGTAGGTAATCTGGATGGCGCTGGTCCCCAGAGGCTTGTGAATCATAGCGGGCATGGGAGAAATCTCAGAGTAATAATAAGTGCTATTGTTGGAATAAACGATCTCCTATTTGACAACACTTTCTTCTATTCAGCATCTTGGATTAGTCGTCCTCCTTTTTCTAGAGGCCCGTGGAAACCAGACGCATCTGCCTGCTTGAGGTGGTACAGACTTAGAGGCTGGGAGACAGATAGGTTACAGCTAAGGTTACCTGCTGGGCTGAGATTAGAGGTGGAACCTTCAGCATCTTGGCTTCTCAGCTGGCTTTAAGTGGACATTTGCACAGCTGCCGTCTTGAGTCTTACCTGCTTCGTGGTCCCTTGATACAGCTCAGACCTGGTGCAGCTATTGGCTTGTTCTGTGCCCTGTATCCTGGGGCTATTCATTCCCAGTTTTACACGAAGAATGTATTTATACCCATATTCACTGACTTTTGGTCCAAAGTTCTGGGTTGGTTGAGAAGATGCCAAGAGATGGAAGGAAGGGCAGGAGGTGGTCCCCTGGCAGAAGGATGAGCCTCTGAACAAACGCTTATGCTGGGGTGTCGTGTGTGGGAAACCGGGAAGCCAGGGCCACTGCCGAGCGGAGCCCGTCCGCCAGTGGAGGGAGCCGGGGCAGAACCTCGCTAAGTTTTGTCGGTGCGGGAGCATGTGCTGGGGGGCGTGGCCTCATCTGCCTTTGAGCTGGGACAGCGGCCTTTTAAAGCTTTCATACTGAGAGAGATTGGAGGCCCTGACTTTTCCACTTGAGAGTGAGTTACATGAGCTACTTATGTATGTTTTAAAAGTGCTCTGTCTCATGAGAGCTCTGAGTCCTGTTCTCCCTGATCCTTTACAGCTAAAGTGATTCATTTGGTTATTCATCCATCTAAGCAAAGAATAGTCAGTGAAGGCCCGCCGCACACACGGCCTCATGATGGCACACTGCAGGAGATGCCAACATTTATAAAATGTGGACTTGCTTGTTCCGTAGCCTCGGGTTATAGATCCAGGGAAGTTCTGAGGCAGTTTCTCCAGAAACTGTAATACTGAGTGGGAGATACAGATTCTGTGTTTAGGAACTGAGAGTGTCCTTGCAGATGGGAGGATGAGGGAAAGCTTTATGGTGGAAAGAGCATCAGCACGCTTTACATTCGAGTAAATCTTTCCTATAGAAACCCACTGGTTTGGGGGCAGGGGGAGGGATGGATGGTTGAAATCTACGTATTATTCAGGCCCCTGATTGTGCTCCTGCTGCTGGATGTTGGCTGTTGTCTTGACCTTCAGCTTCTCCAGCAGGGAGTGCGCAGGCAACCAGGAAGAAGGTGAAATGCACATCAAGCCATATTCTAATTTCCAGGTACAGTAAATGCTCATGTATTTGGTCCAGGAGGGGGCTCGGTGCCTGGCCGTGGTGGGGATCTGGAAGGTCTGTGGTTCCAGCAGTCCGTGCCGACCCTCCACACTCAGGTCCTCTTTGTGGGGGACAGTCGCGTTCGGCAAGGCTGACCCATAGATCCTGCCATCTCGAGCCTTAAAACTCCAGTTCACCAATGGGACCTCTCCTGGCGCCCCGGTGCCCTGGCCGGCAGCGCGGAGGCTGCTTCCGTTCTGACGCAGGATTTTCTGAGGCTTTCCTCCGATCAGGAACTCCCTCTAGAAGGCCGGCTGACCTCTGACCTTACCACAGGATGCCCCTAGGAAGATCCAGCCGTCCACTTGCCTCGAGCGGCAAAGACCGTCTTTCTCTCTCTGTCTCCACATGGGAGTCACTGGGGATCTTCTGGCAAAGCACTCCTCCTGCCTGCACCCCGCGCTAATGGAATCAGAGTCACGGACTGGGGCTTCCCAGGGCCCAGAGCTGCAGCTGTCTGGTGTCGGGGGATGTGCAGGGCCTCCTTCTTTAGCCCTGCAGACAAGTTAGGGTGTGAGCAGGGGCATGGCCTGGCCTCCTGGCTTTCTTACGTGCCTTTAAAGATATGCTAGGACTCTTATCTTAAAAGTCGGATTATAAAGGTGTTTCATCAAATCAGTGCTCATTCTAGAGCTAGCCGCACATTAACAGAAGCCAGATTTCCCAAGCTTCCCTATCTCAGGGCACACGAAACAGATTTTTCAACGTAAACACAAATGCTTTTCCTTTTCTGCTCCAAATGTACTCGCCCACGGAGCCTGGTGTTTAGTGATCAGACTTGTGACCTTTGACCCTCTCCCTCCAAGACCCTGTGGCAGTTTGTCTCTCTCCCTGAGCCGGCCCCGAAGCCCCTCGTGCAGGGCCCCCTGGTTCCTAAAGGCATTCTGGATTCTGCATTTTGAGCAGACTCCTTTCCAGAGGAGCAGTGGTGTTCAGCCTTTGGCGTTTACGTTGGCTTTGTCTCATATCCGGGACACACTTCGTAACCTTTCCTAAAGAAATCATCCTTTTAGACTTAACTGGGAGGCCCAGCGTGCCCACGCTTAATCAGACCGTGCAGAGGCCACTTGGGCCATCATCTCGCATTCTGTCCCATATTCGTCCCGCACAGCAGGCGCACAGCTGCCATCAGCGAAACCACACTCTCTAATCAAATAGAATGAGGTCCCGAGGGCCCCTCTGTCTTCCGGCGCCAGAGCCCCGCCCATCGCAGCCCAGAGCCTCCGCCTCCGGACACTGGAAAGAGGCAGAGCCGGGCAGATAGAAGCCTCTGTGAATACCTGCCCACGTAGTGGGCGGCAAAGGGGCAAAGGCACAGCCCGGAGGGGCATGAAGTCAGCCCAGGAGCTCTGGCAGGGCTGGCTGCCTGCTCCGAGTCGGTACCCAGGATGATGTAGCAGGGATGCAGGGACAGAAGAGATGGTGAGTCGTCTCGTAATCCGGAAGGAGAGTCGTTCAGAGAGCCCTGGAGAGAAAAGGCAGGGGCAGCTCCCTCTGTCTCATCAGATAGGAAGACACGTCACAGATGGGGGCGAATGGGAGTTTAATCTGGTTTTCTTTAATGAGGAAAGCCGAGACAATGTAAAGCCCATGCGTCTTCATTCTAAATGGAAGTCTTCTCTCAGTGAATTGCCGAAGGCTCCCATAATTGCATTTTGCAAATGGCTGAATGAAGTAAGCCCACAGCTCTATTCTTACCCATCGGAGAGGGCGGCTTCCCAGCCCTTTGCTTTGCTGGAACTCAGCTAAACAGCAAACAGCTGCAGGAACAGAGCCTGGTGCAGGGACCAGCTGCTGCTCTGTACCCCTGGGACTACTTGATGGGCACATGGACAGACCTCCGCAGCCAGCTCAGAACTTTGTCCTCCTGGAAGAGGGAGGAGGCTGGCCCAGCAGAGATTTTGGGGGGACGGGGGCACCCAGGGTTCTAAAAGGAAGAAAATGAAGCTTCACCCAGCATAAGTTTGCTGTGGCCGGATAATGGTTTAGCGCCTCTGTCTCATTTTTGGTGATCTACAACGCAAAACATATCTTGTGTGTCCCTTGGGTCAACTTGTCTGAATCCCCTCAAATGCCTGCCCACCTGGAGGTCTTCTCAGGCTGAGAGCTCGGACGGGCTGCTGCCCCGTGCTCTGGAAAGAAGCGTAGAGCCATAGAGGAGAAGCCATGGGGATTGAAACTGGGATAAGAAAGGGGACGGCCAACAGTGCACGGCCTCTTCCTTGTAGAGGGAACAGCCTTTAAAAACCATACGAATGTCTAGAAACCTAAATCACTCGAGAGTAAGGACCATGATGCCCAGATTTTGGCTCACTGACTCTCACTGGTTTCCTTCAGAACATCCTGGGCTTTCCTCTCATTGCATGTGGAGGAATTAGGGGATCAGTATTTCATCCCCAAAAGCCCCTCTGAGAGGCTGTAACAGATCACACCCTTACATCATCCTTGGTATATTGGGTGTGGTATTCCATCACCACTAAATCAAAGACCTGACTCCACCAAGCCAGGAGCGCATGCGATGAAGCACCACCCTTGCTGATCAGAGCAGATCCACCGCCAGGACGAAAGGGACTCTTCTGGAACGTAGTCCCGGCATCCATCTCTCTTTTCTGAAACCACCCGTGGCAATTTGGGTAAGAACCCAATAAATTAGAATCATACTAAGGACTGATGAAGGATTCTTCTTTATACTGAACTAACATACCTCCAAACAAGGCGTGGGTACTTGTTTCTAACGGAAGTCACCAGTGGAGCGTAAGGAAAACCAGTTCCATTTTTTTTAACCAATGATTTGTTTTTCCAAGAGACTGAAAGTCTTTGGACAAAGATTCCATAAAAAAACCTTCATATAAACAGGATCTGGACAATTAAAAACTGCGGTAATCGGCCTTTCTGCTGAGTGGATTCATAGCTCTGAGCCTCGAGTGAAGTATTGTTTAATCAAGAATGGCCAGTAGATAAAAGTGAATCATCGCATACCATGTCCATTTTCATGGCGTAATGCAGCTTTCCGAACGCTGTCAAGTTCGTTGTTGGTCTTGGCAGTGATATTTCTATTTTAGTGGTTGACACTTCCTTTTACCATAGGAGAGAGAAGTCGGGCCAACTTTCCCAAGCAATGATGGTATCCAGAATGGGAATCTATCCCATTTTAAAATACAAACACTCCCATGCGTCCCCTTCACAAGCGGGCTTCCTTTCTTGTGAAGATTTCTCCCTCCTTTTACAGATCAAAGATCAGCCTGTGAATTATCCCCAGAGAAATGAGACCCTCTGAGAGGTGGCTGGACAGTGTTCTGAGCCGGTCCGCCGCAGAGCTTCAGGGCATGGGCAGGTGCGCTGGTTCAGTGTTGTTCAGATGCTAGATTTTGACACCTTAGTACGCTGTGAAATGAATTTCGTGGTTTGTAACTGCATTTTGAAAGACAACAAAGGAACATAGAATAAAAATTTAAAAACGAGATGACTGCAGGTAAGAGGGGAAAGTGTCCTTTTGTGAAACTTTGGTTTCACACACACGCCCCATGTATGCATGTGTGTGTGTGTGTGTGTGTGTGTGTGTAACAATGTACAATGGTGTTTTTACAATGGGTCACCGACAGAGAATTTGGAGAAACATTGTTCCGGTTTGCTATCACAGGGAGAGGTCGTCTTATGCAATGACTCCTGTAAGTCATACATTTGAAGTTAAAATAACAGCTGCAACAACAAAAGTAGCAAAAGCAGTAAAGTTAGAAGGTGTGTGGTGGGGCCAGAGATCAGGAAGGGGGAAAATAAAAAATCCTGGGCTGTCGTAGCACAGGGAGATCAGCTCGGTGCTTTGTGACCACCTGGGTGGGGTGGTGGATAGGGAGGGTGGGAGGGAGGGAGATGCAAGAGGGAAGAGAGATGGGGATATATGTATATGTATAACTTATTCACTTTGTTATAAAGCAGAAACTAACACGCCACTGTAAAGCAGTTATACTCCAATAAAGATGTTTAAAATATATATATATAATGAAAAACAAAAGTCAAAAAAAAAAAAATCCTGGCTGGCTGCACTACCTGTGATTAAACTCCTGGAAATGTACCATCAGCCAGAGAAACAGCAGCTTCTTGGGAGCAGGTCCCACAGCCTGGGCAGGGGGAGGTCTGCACCGTGATCCGGGGGGCAGGTTCACGGCTGGGAACAGGGGTGGCGAGCACACACACACACCTGCCCACTTGCCTTGGGGCTGGTGAGAGGGTCCCTGGGCACTGGTTGCTGGTCTTGTGGGGGGAGGCAAGGGCAGTATGTTTCAGAGCTTCGCCGTGGATGTCAGACAGCCCTGGGCTGACTGCTGGCTCTGCCATTTACTAGCCTTTGGGCAAAACACCTCAAGCCTCTCTGAGCCTCAGTTTCCTCGTCTGGGAAATGAACATGAAAACATTTACTTTATCATTTTGCTGTGAGGCTTGAGTGGAGAAGCCGAGGGTGGGTAGCTTAATAAATGTTAGCTCCCTCCAGATACCTCGCGTGCTGTAGCTCCCACCTGCTGCCAGGAAGCAGAACGGACCACCTGGTAGGGGAGGACCCTCTTCTGTCCCTTATTACCTCACGGAATGCTTGGTGGAAGGGGAAGGAATGGGGTGGAAGGAAATGGTCCAGAGGGGGCCCAGGGCAGTAAAGAGGTGGCTTCGGCAGCTACCCACCCCACCCGGGGAGCTGCTTCCCGTTGCATGAGCGGCAGGGCTGTGGCAGTGACTTCCTTGTGACATCCCCTGCCCCGCCGCCCCTGACTCCGGGACTCCCGCGTCACCAGCAGATCCTGGCTCTGCTGCCTCGGCACAAGGCTGAGGGTGGCCGCCATCACAGCAGAGTGTCCTGCCCTTGACGTTTGGGCCACTGACATTTCCCCTCGTTGCAGTCCACCTCGGTCCTCCAAGCAGCGAGGCCATTGGAGCCCCCGGTCCCCGGCTCTCTGTGTAACCAGAGCTGTGATCTCCTGCAGGTGGAAGACATCACCACCAGCCATGAGGCTGCTCTCCTAGAGATGGAAAACAGCCACACGGTTGCCGTCTCGCTCCTGCAGGATGACCACGACCACAAGGTGCAAGGTAGCTACGAGGCTTGGTGCGCGCGGTGGGCGGGCAGGGTGGGCTGTGCGCACTGATCCTCTCCGGCTGCAGACACGGGGAGCCCTCCCTTTCCCTCTTGCTTCCCTTTCCCTTCTTCTTTCCTTTCCTTCCTGGTTTGTCCTTTGTGTTGCTTCTTGGGTTAAGAAAAGACAGAAATCCAGGACCCGGGTGACTACAGTAAGTCCCCTACATATGAATGAGTTCCGTTCTGAGAGCGCGTTCGTATGTCCAATTCGTTCGTTAAGTCCAACAAAGTTAGCCTAGGTACCCAACTAACACAATCAGCTATATAGTACTGTACTGTAATAGTTTTATAATACTTTTCACACAAGTAATACATAAAAAACACAAAAGTAAAGAAAACATTTTTAATCTTCCAGCACAGTACCTTGAAAAGTACAGCAGTCCAGTACAACAGCTGGCATCCAGGGGCTGGCATTGCCCGAACAGGCAAGAAGAGTTACTGACTGGAGGGGAGAGAGGAGGTGGGAGATGGTAGAGCTGAAGGATCGTCAGCAATAGGGGACGGAGGGCCAGCTGCAGTGTCACTCACGCCTGACGTTGATGGAATGCACATTCGCATCTTTGAAAGTTTGCAGCTTGAAGGTTCTTTTGTAGGGGACTTACTGTGCTTTCCTCTGAAGCCGATCCTCTCAACCCTGCCTGAATACTGGAATCCCTGGGAGCCTTGGTCCCAGAGCAGGGTTTGGTAGCTGGTCTGGGTTACAGCCTGGGCTTGTTAAAGCTCACAGGTGAATGTAACAGGTAGCCAAGCTTGAGACCCACTGTTCTACAGTAAGTGTAGAAATCCTGGGCTTTGTCTTGTTTTGTGGCCTTATAACCGTCCCACAGGTGTGGTGTTGTCAGGGCCACGCCAGCATCTGACTGGGCCTGGCTCTCCACACCTTGCACTCAGACCACATTCACCATGGATGTAAGTGGACTCTCAGGATCTTTTTTTTACATTTTTTTATAACTTTGAATTATCTTTGGATACGTAGGATTTTATGTGGGTTGTAACAATAACAACAACATTTAACTAAGTACTACTAAGATTTTGACTCTGTGAAAGAAGCTTTTTACACGTTAACGTGCATTAACGTTATATAGAGAATTTGTTTTTCAATTTCCCCTTTCCTCATTTTTTCCTCCCCAGTCAGCTGATTGTTAAAGTATATGAAAAACAATTAATTTAACAATAGATTAATAAATTCTGAAGTTTTGAGAATATCAGAGTTTTAAAATTATTTTTAAATGTTCTTTGTAAACAACAAGGCCCACTGTGCAATAATCAATACTCACGTGACTGCCCCCTCGAGCACCAACCCCGCCGCCTCTGGGAATTACCCATACGTGGAAAAGTCCAAGCTGGACGCAAGGGAGAGGAATTTCCTGAGAACTAGTTAAATGTATTACCTGTTCCTGAGAGCGTGTCTCATGCTTAGAGTACCAGCTCCCACCCTTGGATGCACATTGGAACCACCTGGAGAGTTTTTTTAAAAATACTGACGTGTAGCTCCTATCACAGAGGTTCCGGTTTAATTGCTCTGGGGTGCAGCCCAGGCATCGGGATTTTTTAAAACTCCCCAGGTGATTCTAATATGTAGCAGAATTGGAGAAGCACTCTCTTAGAGCACAGTCTTAAGCAGGGGACAGAGTGTCAGGACCTTAAAATAATGAAATACATTATGAGTACATAGATAGTCGCCATGGTTTATGCCACCTAATAGATACTGACTTTTCTTTGCTTGTGAGGTATAGGGTATCTGAAAATGCCCTAAAGCCCATCACTACACTGTAGGAAAATGGTCTCAGGAAAGGGAACAGGAACGGAAATGTTACAATGAGTGTTGCCTTTTGTTTCCGGATTTTCGTATAAATAGACTTGGTAGATTTTTCTGACTAATGAAGACTCGCTTAGACGCCACATCCAGGGCCTTTGAATTACATATAATGTGAAGACAATGTAGGCGTATGTAATGGTAGCTAAAAACTTCATTATTATGGATGATGCTCTCAATGACTATTAAAAGTAATCATTTAGACAAAGGCAGGTAGACCAGAAACCCACATGATTTTATGTCAATAAAATAAGCACAAACTTTTTTCTTTTTTTCCCAAATGTAAATTTCAGCTATAACAACTGGATTTCTAAGAGATCTTTAACCATCATCAGCTAAAAGATTTGGGTCAATGGAAACCACAAAGTTTTTCTTAATTGCAGCTTATGCCAGCCGGAATGATAATTATTGGTCTCCAGCACTCTCCTGTGCTAAGCATATGATCCAGGTTGATTAATGAGACCTTTCCTCTCTCCAGTTATAACGTGAAAACAAATTGCTTGTGTAGCTAGAATGAGACGGGCTTCACCCAGCTGATAAGACTATTCCCATCTGGAGGAAAACAGAATCCATTTGCTTAATAACTCTTACATGACATCTCTTGCTGCCTACCTTGCAAATTATCACTGGAATGACACTTTTCACGGAATAGAATTGCTCCAAACTCCGCAAGAGGAACCAGTCCAATGGGTCCTTCCTTCTGTCTGAGTGGCTTAACATCGACTCTTTGCTTAAGCAAATCCTAGCATCTGTGGTTTCCAGAGTGTGGCCCAGAGGCCACCAAGGTGACTTTGCAGGCGCAGCAGTGGTCCCGTTCACCTGTCCATTCTCCAGCAAGCCCATGCTCCGCTCTCCTTGGAAAGGTCCCTGCTTCAGCCCGAGATTGCGGCTTCGTGGTAGAAAAGAAGAGTGATCCTGGGAGGGAAGAAAAGGGAGATTTAACATTAATTACCTAGTGGTTTTACCATTAGGAATAGTTGGAGAATTCAGTGAGTGCTGTGAATGGAGAATCTGACTTGGCCAGGGTGTTGGTAGAGCTGGGTATAAAAGTGAGTGTGTGTGTGTGTGTGTGTGTGTGTGTGCGCGCGCGTGTGCTTGTGCTCTGTTTGCTTCCCTCCCTCCTTTCTTTCCTCTTAACCCTCGCCGTTTCTCCTATTTCCTTCCTCATCCTTTCTCCCTCTCTCCTAAATAACATTGCATACAATTTCAAACTAATGGAGAGGTCTCTTTAGGCTTAAGTCCGCTATATACTGGTGTCCCTTACTCACCTACGTCACTAGTCTTAGCCTGGCAAAAGAATCTTGTTTGATCCCTTTTCAAAAGAAAGATCAACCTAACAATTTGATGTCTTCTCTCCAGAACTGATATCTACCCACGAGCTTGAAAAGAAAGAATTGGAAGAAAATTTTGAAAAGCTGCGGCTGTCATTACAGGTCAGTGTTTCCTTAACTCCAACATCAAGATAATGGCAGCATTGTTATTCCTGTCCACAGACATTTATCCAGCACCTACCGTGTGCTGGATCCTGTACTAAGCATTGGAACACGGGGGTAAATAAGACCTACTCCCTGCTCTTAAGGAGTTTACTGTCTACTCAGAGCTGTGATACAAATAGTGACAGACCAGCACGGAAGGTAACACATACTTGCACAGAATACCGTTAGCGCCACAGGGGTTCCGAGAGACGGCTCCCCATGTGCTTGCGGTCAGAGTCATGTTTGGGGAAAGGGGAGGATTAGGGAGCAGAGCATTCTGGGCAGGGGTAACGGGATAAGGAGACTCATGTAGGGCAGAAATCACAGGACATGTTGTGGGAATTGTAAAAGCAAGTTCAATCCCCTGGAGATGTAACGAAGCTTCTTGGCGTCCTGCTTGAAACCTACACAGAGTGTGGGTCTCAGATGCCAGGGGCGCTGCCTGGCTTCCTTCTGGTCTCGGAGGGGAGAACGGAGGTCTCTGCCTTCCAGAGGCCTCAATCAGCTCCTTCTGTGAAAAGATGTTGGCCGCCCCCAGCCCTAGAGAGGGGCTGCCCGGGAAGCCAGGGGGAGGCTGGTGGCCCTGCTTCCATTGCCAGCTGTGGACGTCCCAGTCATAGAAAGATTACCTTTTAAATATTAGGGACATTCACATCTGGAAATTTGGGAGGTGATTACCATAATTCTAACACAAAGGCAGGAGTTTCGTTTCTTCAATGGCTCACTTTCCCCAGGCAGTGTTTCTTGCACAGAACCTGCCCTGCCGAGAAAAGAATCTAGGATTATGGAGTGTCACACTATTGAGTGTACTATTCGAAAAGTTTTAAATGGGAAACCACCTGCTGCAAACCCACCCCCGATCCATCGATCCATGGATCCATCGGTGGGCCTGCACATGCCCACGTGCTCCCTGTGTGGCTTATCCTTGGCAGATTAACCCCAAACTTCTTTGTGTACCCCACATCCCACACCACCCAGATATATTACCCTTAAGGAACACAAACCAGGAAGGTAACAGCCCTACTGTGATGTGTCAGAAAACCCCAACGGTCCAAAACCAAAAGAAGGGAGAGTTCTGCTTCATCCGTGAGTCTTCACTTTGCCACTCACATCACACAGTCATGAATTGTGCACATTTTAGTGGTAACTCATGGGCAGAATCCATTTGAGCTGGAGATTTTCTGGTGTGAGGTGGGCACAGTTGCTTAGGCCAGTTTCCTTGGGCTACTGGCAGCTAGAGAAACAGGTTTGGGGTAAAAAGATTTGAGTTTGAGGTTTAAATCCCCACTGTACCTTCTCTTAATAGCTTTGAAATCTTGGACAGCTACATAAGCTGTAAACCTTAGTTTACCCATCTGTAAAATGGGGATAATGCCAATTCCTTCCTCAAAGTGTGAGCAGCTTAAGGGAAATAATATGTGTCAATGAAAACATTAATCAATAGTCAATCCAAGAAAGAAACGGAGAATTTTATTCGAGCCAACCTGAGGATTAGAACCAAAGGGAGACAGTCTTTATGTGGTGTACAATGGAATACTACTCAGCCATAGAAAAGAACGAAATTTTGCCATTTGAAGCAACATGGATAGACTTGGAGGGCATTCTGCTAAGTGAAATACGTCAGAGAAAGACAAATACTGTATGATGTCACTTATATGTGGAATATAAAAAACACAGCAAACTAGTGAATGTAACATAAAAGAAGCAGACTCACAGGTACGGAGAACAAACTAGTGGTTACCAGTGGGGGGAGGGCACGTAGGGATGGGGATGGGGAGGTACAAATTGCTGGGTGTAAATAGGCTCAAGGATGTGTTGTACAACACGGGGAATATTTTGTAATTGCAGTATTTTGTAATAACTGAATAGTAACCTTTAAAAATTGTATTAAATTTTTTTTAAAGATTAAAAGACAAAGCGCTAAGGACTGTCCATTAGAGGTCAATGCACAGTTATATAAATTTTTGAGACAAAGGGTCTTACATCAAAGTAACATATTGACAGTGTACGTAGTCCAACAGGGCAAGTAGTGGGTCATCGTGACCCCTTACAGGATTGAGAAAGGAATGTTATCTCCTAAGGAGTTACCTTGCTGGCGCCAGGAGAAAATTGCTTTTTTTTTTCCCGGTGAGCAGGCATTCCTGTGTCTTCTAAGGGGATCTAGTTAATGTATAATGCAGATGCACCGTGCACACTGAAGAGGGGTAGTGGCCCAGATGGGCAGAGAGAGAATTTTCTGTTTAAAAATTTTCTGGTCCTGCCTTAAAAATAAATTGATTTCATCATGTGTAAAGGGCATAGAGCACTAGGCAGCAGCTGGTGCGATTGTAATAGTTTCAGGCGTTGTTACATTTGCCATCATCATCATTGTTATGGGGCCGTTGGTTAGCTCCAAGTGGTCCATGCCGGGCCAGGTCACCAGCTGGGTCTTGGTGCTCTTACCTTGGCATAAAGTAGCCAATCCAAGTTGAAGAACAGCACGTCCTGTCTGATTGCTGGGGCGCCATTGTGCGCCTGAGGATCTGTTTTGAATAATGGCGAAGAAAGCAGAAAAACCACGGTGTGATAGTTCAGATGCCACCTAGATGGTACTTGCCTGAGTTTTTCACTGTTTCACTTTTTAATGGAAGACAAGAGGCTCGAGAGGAATGCTTGCTCTGACGAGGCTTGTATAGGAGGTGGGTAGCACTCCAGTCATTTTAATTTTTGCAATAAAATAATATCTAATATTTATTGAGCACTTACTGTATGCCAGGTACTGTTCTAAGTATTAACTCACCACCATCCTCTGGGTTAGGTATTATCGTACCCATTTTACAGATGGGGAAACCTGGACACAGTGGTTAAACTACGGAGCGCTCCAGTCATTTTATAGTCACGTTCTACGCATGCGTGCTGGGGCCCAGCCGGCTGTCCTGAGCCCTGATTTACACTGGCTCATGTGCCTTCCAGCTCCCACTGACACTGTCTTGCCCTCATGCAGCAGCATGCGCACTTAATGGCACCGTGGGGGGCTTTTATTTCTTAGAGACGAAAGGGAAGTAACTGGAAACAAAAAAGGAGAGAAGGAAAAGGAACCCGCCAAGGATGGTTTGCAAAACTGGGTTCTCTGTGATGACAGGAAAGCGGTCGAGCCAGCACGTGCTATGTGGCAGTGCTCTCGTGTGCGGTTCCATCGTTGACCGCACCCAGCTGCTCACATGTGGTGGGCGGGGCCATCTCTCTTGCCAGAAGTGTTCACGGGAAGACCTCAGTCCCTGGGTTTTAATGTTACAGAAGTGGTGATGGGGGTGGAGAATTTTGGAACACGTGGCACCAGCAAGGCACCGTCTCTTCCCTCTGCTTGGGCATCAAGGCTCTGCCCGGCTCCCTCTGCTGCCCGCCATCGGTCAGGGCCGGGGCTGCGGGGAGAGGGCTCAGCGTGGTGGCACCTGCGCTGGCAGCAGGGCTGGGGCCCCGGGCCTCCCCACACACGCCTCCATTCTCTCCACCTTCACACACAGAGCAGCCCCGTGGTGGGCACGTGCTGGGATGGGGGTCCGGAGGGCCCTCTGGGTCAGGGGTGGGGGGAGCGTCTGAACGGGACAGATTTCACTCACGTGGCAGCTCAGGCCAGGGGCCTGCCACCCAGGGGCGCCGAGCGGAGGCCAGAAGAGGGCCGGGGGTGAGCGGGAGCTGGCTGTGGGGGAGGAGCGGATGTAAGGTGGGTTGGGGGCAGCGAGACGAGACAGGCGGATGCGGAGGATGCAGACGCTGCGTCAGCGTCACTTGGTCCCGAGGGCACGGGGTTTTACGTAGGGGGGTGCTCAGGCTTGCGCTTTAGAAAGCTCCCCCTCCCCCGACCCTGACTCCCCCTTGAGGGCAAACGAGTTGCCGGGTCTGGGACAAAGTCAGCGAGTGGCTCCACCCGGTGGAGGGAGTAGGATCAGGAGTGTTTGTGGATCCCGGGACGTGACGCAGGAGGCCGCATTCTCCGGGCCCTGCCATTGCTGTGTTTAGTGTGGGGGGAGGGGCTCGGGCAGAGCCAGAAGTCAAGGTTGGTTCGACAGCTTCTGGCTTGAACTTAACAGATGAGAACAGCTCTTCTCTGAGATGGATTAACCGTCCTTCGTGAAGCGGGGGGCTAGAGCCCCGCCACAGACTAAGATGCCTCTCTGCTGATGGGCTGCTTTTGTGAAGTCAGATGATAAATTATTAAACGCCTCCGCTCCGCAAGCTTCTTGCTTTCCTGGGGGTGGGGGGCGAGGACAGCTCTCTGATCTCAGGAGGCACTGAGTCGGGCCACCTGCTTCGAGTGCCCCGCCAGCGTGCGTGCACTTTCCGTGCGACAGGAACATGCATCTGTCAGTGTTCTGTGGTCCATTCTGGACAAGGCACGGAGGCAGGGAGACTGGGGGCCTCTCCCTGCTGCATGCGAAGGCCTTTTGGTGGAGCCCGGTGGGGGCGACCTCTGATCTGGACGCCCTGGGAAGAGCCCCCAGGGCAGGGTGGTGGCCGTCATCACCGCCCCCCAGGTGCCACGTCTGCAGGGGACCGGGCTGGACGTTTCGTGTGTTACCTGCAGGACCAGGTGGACACGCTGACCTTCCAGAGCCAGTCTCTGCGGGACCGAGCCAGACGCTTCGAGGAAGCTTTGAGGAAAAACACTGAGGAGCAGCTGGAGGTATCATGCGCTTCCGGTCTCCCAGCACCCGCAGGGCCCTTGCAAGGCAGTTCTGTTGGACTCCAGGAAACCCGGGGCTCCCCCAGCAGTTGCCCCGAAGGCAGGGCCCCTGTGCTGATCTGACGCCAGAGCGACAGCGGTCAGGGCCTCCCGGGATTTTAAGCATGTGCCTGTCAGCACCTGTGCTGAGTCGGGATGGCCCTGGGTTCTCCATCTAAGTGTTATTCTTGCCTCATTGCACACGGCTCCCCAGCCCCTGTCCCTGGGCTGCTGTGACGAGCTGGGCCTGGAAACACCCCACCCTGGCCAGGCCCCATCCCAGCCCCACGTCCCGTTCCCTCCCAGTGCCGCCTGCAAGGGAGGCATCCCTGAAGCCCCAGTTGGTAGGGTGAGGGGTTTTTCCTCAGGCTGGCACAATTCCTTCCCTCTGACGTGAGGTGCCAGATAAAACACACGAGGCAAAATCCACAACACCCAGTTACACGTGAATTACAGATAAGTGAGTTTCTTAGTAACAGGTAGGCCTCATGCAATACTTATGTGAAATTCCAACATAATTGAACGTCCTGTCTTGTTTGTCGCCTCCGGCAGCCGTATTCTCACATTTACTTTTCTACAACAGCCTTCTCTGCCTCTTAACCCACTCTGCTCATTTCCTGTGCATGGCGGGGGGCGGGGCCCTCCACGGGCACAGATGGGGCCTTTCAATCCCCACCTGTCTGTTGAATCAAGTAGTCTGCGCGAATGTTAAAAGCCAATGTTGAATGTACTGTTTTTGCCCGCTAAATTCCCTTGGGGCGATAGGCTGGTAGTATCCGGCCACCCCGGGATCCGACGTTTCAGGGAATGACGGCTTCACCTCTCCTGCTCCCCAAGGAGCTGGATTTTTAGTAGCTCCCCCAGTGGAAACTCGTGGGCATCGTTATCAGGAAGGCTGTGAGCATTGTCTCCCTCTCGCGCTCTCGCTCTCATTCTCCAGCGCCTGTTAGGAAGCTTGTTAACGGATGAGTAGATTTCGCTGAATTCATGGTGCTGGTCAATACTGGGCTTCGCCGGGGTGCCTGGTGAAGAGCTCCTTGCTCTCTGCCCCTGTAGGTTGCATTGGCTCCTTATCAGCACTTGGAAGAAGACATGACGAGTCTGAAGCAGGTATTAGAGATGAAGAATCAGCAAATACACCAGCAGGAAAAGAAGATCATTGAGCTGGAAAAGCTGGTGAGTTGGCCTCTTACCTTGGGAGGCCCCAGTAACCTGCATGATATCCCTGCTGCCACAGTGGATGTCAATATTAACAGCATCCATGGCCCCATCCAGGTGGGGGCCCTTACATGTCCGGTGCTCACAAGTGAGCAGAAAACGCCTTTCTTAGGAAGCCAGGAGTTCAGAAATCTCAGAGGTGGCCTCATTTGTAGAAACCCGGAGGCCGTCTGATGCCCCGCCTGGCTCCCCATCCACCACTGTGACGTGCCAGTTCCTCCCCACCCCGGGGAAGATGTGCGGTGAGCCTGCATCTGTGGAGCATCGCTGTTGTGCACCAGGCACGACGCAGACACTCTGTGCGTGTTTGTTCTTTAACTCTGACAGCAATCCACTGAGTAGGTGCTGTCAGGAGCCTCCTTTCACAGATGCGGAGACGGAGGCTTAGGACGAGGTCATGTCTCACCCAGGGCCGAACAGTGGTCCAGCCCAGGCGTGAGCCCTGGGCCAGAGCTCCAGGCCCCGGCTTTCGGCCCACGCTCTGCCTCGCCTTTCAGCCTGGCTCCCGCAGAACTAGCAAAGGGCACCCCTTTGGGGGAGTAGAGCAGCCAGAGTTCACTCCCCGCCCCTGTGGGTGCGAGGGCTGAAGCTGAGACAGTCTCATCCGGAGTCAGCAGCAGAGAAGCCTGCCTCCAGGGAGATGCCATTCTGAGGGGAAGGTTGGCCCAGGGGTCGCAGGTAGATTAATTTTTTCTTTTTTATTGTTATATTTAAAATAAATTTTTGATACTCTAAAAGGAAATATAATTTCCTCTAAAAGGAAATTATAAGATATAGATAAGAAAATTAAAATGACATATTTCTACACTGTTAATATTTCCAGAGCCTTTCTTCTGTACAAGTGTACACACCCTAATATACGACCCACACATACATACGAGTGTTTTGTATCCTGCTTTCTTTCAGTTAGCAAACCCTCAGCTTACCATCTCAGTAACTGATCACCTCCTCTAACTTTTCAAGTTCTCCGTATGTCTCGGAAATGTCCTTGAAGCCGCTATGTCCAAACCAGGAGCTGGTCCCAGACCACCTGTTGCATTCAGCCGGCACGTCCCCTCTCCTGATCTAGCACCACCCCTCTCTGGGGACATCTCTCACTGCACGGATGCCTGTCAGTCAGGATAAGGGCAGACGGGGGTGTGAGTGCCTATTGCCAGCATCAGAGGCAATGCTGGCGTCCTGGCACCCTCCAGCAGCCCAGAGCTTCCCAGCAAGGCCAGAGCTAAGGCCAGCGGGGGGCTCGCGAACAGAGTCCTCCCGTCTCAGCCCTGCAGCCCTCCTCCTCCAGGCAGGGCCACCTGCATCGTTATCTGGTCAGCCACAAGCCTCCGGGCTTCTTTGGCTGTATTTAGCCATGCTCCAGGCCTTCTGCAGGTACGCAAGAGTTCTCATTCCAGAAATCTTTCCAGGCAGAGGGGTGGGTAGGGGTGGGGGGAAGAACTGATTTAATCACTTCCCACTTCCTGGGAGGGCCTTGCTGAAGGGCAGGGGCAGAGCCCAGTCCTTTGGCTCTGATGCCTAAGCCTGAGTCATGGAGAAGTGGCGGTTTTCTTTAAAGATTACTCTAGCATTTATTTCTCAGTGCATCTTAGAATGGAGCTCTACCTCGGCTAGGTCTCAGGCCCTGGGGACACACCGACAGAGAGAGCGGGGCGTAAGTTGCAGAGGAGTGGCAACCACAGAGGATGTTCTCTTCTGATCACGTGCCACGCTGGGCTCGAGCTGCACGTTCCCGGCTGCCCAGAGCCTCAGACGGAAAAGAGTGTGTCCATGCTGTTTGCATTTCCAGCCCTCCATTAATTCAGAATGTCGTAGAATGCACACAGGCCTCAGAGATGCCAATGCAGGGCAGACGGCCTGATGGGAAGAACCGGGGGCCCCATCAGCCAAACGGGGTCCAGGTGGTGCTCACGGCTCATTTCTGACAATGGCAGGGGTCTGGGGACACTCGCTATGAGAAATATATTCTACATAGGAATCCAGTATAGGCACACACATAAGTTCTATATATACAATACATACAATCCACTATATACACTAATATATACACACACATAATATATCTAAAAGGGAAATATATACTGTATCTAAAATATATACAACAATACTTTTACTACACACGGTGCACTCTGGTATTTTCTATTCTGTTTTGTTTAAAAAAGAAATGCTGGTCACGTCCCTCTAACCTGATTTTACAGCCGACTAATGCATTGCAAACTGCGGTTTGGAAAACACTGTTCTTGATAATGTTCCAAAGCCCAGAAGCCAAGGGCATTGGTCTGCCATCTATCCATAGGGCCTTGCTGAGAAGCTCTTGACACTGCATCTTTTATAGGCAGAAAAGAACATTATCCTGGAGGAAAAGATCCAAGTTCTCCAACAGCAGAATGAAGACCTCAAAGCCAGGATTGACCAGAACACCGTCGTCACGAGGTAGGTGGGCCTGGGCGTCGGAGCTTCCAAAGCATGTGTCGCCGACAGGATGGCTTTGCTCTCGACCTTGGGGCGCTCTGCTTTTATCCTCACTCCTCCGAGCCCTGAGGCTTCCCCACACGGGCTCTTGGCACTCCCCGCGCCGAGGGAAGCATAGAGCACACCGCTCTGAGCACCCAGCCGATGCCCGGGCTCCGCAGAGCGGTGGGTCCCACCTTGGTGGAAATGAGTGACACCAGCCAAAGCCTGGGGCACAGCTGGGAGGTGACGGGGATATTTCTGGAGGAGGTTTTGGAGAGGCTGCCAGCTGGGGGTTCCTAGGCTAAAGAGAACCACCGTGTGAGCCGACGCCGAGCTCCATCACTGGGGCCTGCGGCTGCTGCAGCAGCGCTGGGCCAGCTGGTCATGGCAGGAGAGCTGGCCTGGCCAAAGGGCAGCAGGGAGGGGAGGCGCCAATGCAGCTGCTCCCCAGGGACACTGCTTCCATCTTGGTGCTGCCTTCCTTGCTCGGAGGGCCCCAGGAAGGGGGGTGGGGGGGCAGACCCACTGCTGTCACGACAGAGGCACAGAATGCCTCGGTTCCTTTTTCATTTAGCATCCATTAGCCGCAAACATCAACTAAGCATCCATTACGCACCAGGCCTCAGACTGGGTGCCGGGCACTCGAGGAGGACCGCTCTGGGGCCTGTTCTCCAGGGCTCCCGGTCCAGCAGGCGGCCAGATGCACAGACCAGAGGTGATGGCTGCCAGGGAGGCCTGAGCCAGGGGCAGGGCGTCCCACACCAAGCCGCACTTCCCTCTGTCTCTTCCGGCGGCTTCTGCTCTCTCCCCTGGCCCCCAGCGCCTCCCCTGACCCGGGCAGAGGGGCTGTGGGCAGATCGGGTGTTGGCGGAGGGTCTCTGGGAACGGATGTGTGGGTGGGATGAGTAGCAATCACGTTTCAACCCCGCTTCTTGGTCCCTGGGGTCTGGCAGGACCCTGTTCTCCCCGCGGGCACCCACCACCTACCCCCTTTCCCTGCAACCCTCGGCCTTGCAGACCTCAGGTTAAGTGCCTTCCGGCGTGACTGCTGCTCGACAGTTGCTTGTTCTCCCCGTGCAGACAGCTGTCAGAGGAGAATGCTAACCTCCAGGAATATGTGGAGAAAGAAACACAGGAGAAGAAAAGATTGAGCCGAACCAACGAAGAGCTGCTTTGGAAGCTGCAAACGGGGGACCCAACCAGCCCGATTAAACTGTCCCCCACGTCCCCCGTTTACCGAGGCTCCTCCTCCGGGCCCTCCTCTCCCGCCAGAGTCAGCATGACGCCCAGATGACGCCACCACGCTGCGGGTCGAGCTGCGGCGCCTGGTCCACGAGGGTTTCCGCCTCGAGGGAGTGGTGACCATGGACCGGCCCGACTGACCCTGCGCGCATGCCCAGTAGCTGCATAGCTGCATCCTAGGCAGAGTCCTTTTCTGATCCTCGTGTAAGACTGTCCTGGTACTGGCACTTCGGAAAGTGTAAATGGTAGTGTCTGATGTGCAAACGTTTGACCGTAGTTAGAGCCAAAAGAAAGAAACGCCAACTGTTCTTGAGCAATGAACTTTCACTGCAGAATATCAGGTTAGTTACAGATAGCTCAGTTTTGAATATCCATTGAATAATCATTGTGTACTGCACCGATATGTGTGTATATTTAGATATACGTATATACACATGCAGCGGTTCTGAATTGCATTTTTTATAACATGAAGTGCTGACATATTTTGGTGAAGGTCAGCAGTTTTCTAACTCGTGCCTAAGAATTATTGGGAAATGAAAATGCATTTCTATCTACCTTCCCAGGAATATTTCTACCCAAAATAGAAAAAGGAAAAAAAAAAAAAAAAGATACAGAGAAGAAGCGCCTTCCGACCTGCCACCGCGTGGTACTCTGTTTAACACAAGCACCAGCCATTCACGAACGGTAGCTGCCTTTGCAACAATCAGCTTCTTAGAGTCCACGCGATGTGAGGCCACTGTTACTCCATCCGCGAGTTTTCAGCGTTTAATACTTCTGTCATGAGCGGATAAGGGGCAGCAGTGGGAAACCCTGAGGGGGTGAGGAGTTTTGCAGATGTCACTCATGACAGTGGATCATCTATAGTCTCGTAAACACAAGTTCTGCTTTTGTTTTCCTAAATGGCATCTTGGAATCCATCATTAAGCTCTTTCATCTTCGGGAAAATATGGAAGCACATGACCTTATAGGATGAGGGTGAGAGTGACCTCGGAGTTGGCCAAGACCATTCACGCTCCGTCCTCAAGAAGGAAGACCGCTAATAGGGTCTGTGTTCTGACTAAGCGTAGGGTAGGAAAGCATATACTCTGCCATCCTGTTTGCTTTACTCTGATGTGATGCTGAAAATGGGCAACGCACCAAAATATGACCCTCAGCCCCACTTCACTGGCACCCCCCTTCGGTCTGGTTCCGTAACCCAACCTCATTCCTGTACATTGAGAAGCTCAGGGCTTCCAGCAGGGGCTTCCAGAAATCCTGGGGGATCAGTTCCAAGCTGTGCTAGACCATCACATGGCCTCCCAGAAGCCCAGGTGCATTTTCTGCCGGGTGATCGAGCAGTGCCACAGCTGACAGAGGTCCCATCTCTGGCCCAGGAGGTTCTTCCAAACAGAGGAAGGAGCCCGGGAAACAGCCAGCCAGCGGTGGCTGGCTTCCGGACTGGCGTTTGGCTCTGAAACGGTAGAATTAGAACCTGAGAGGTATTCCTGTAGTGCTGTGGACGATTAGAAGCAAGACACACAAAAGAAAGAAGCGGTTTCAACAGTTGATATGGTGATGATAATGATGCCTTTGTTCACTGTTTGTGACGAAGAAGACCCTGCACTTTTCTCCCTAAGGCCCCTCAAAATGGTCCTGAGCACAGGACTGGCTCTGAGCATACCCGAGGCGGGCGGCCTCATGTAGGGTTGCTTCGTGGGCCAGAGCCACAGAGCAGGGAAGAAACGGCCCACGGAAGGGCTTGGCTGGCCCAGAGCCCTGTCTGCTCTGTGAATACGTGGCCGGCGTAAAGACAGACCTGGTCTGTGTTCCTTGCGTGAGTCAAGGTTGGGCTTCCTGGCCTCGTGTACATCTCATTTCTAGCAAACCTCCAGGTGTTCGCCCATCCTGGGGACATACACAGGAGTATCCACTAAAGAAACATTTTTTTCCTTTAGTGGCTCTGCATGATGCTGTGATGTTGAGTTGGGCCTCCCATTAGAGTAGATCATGCCACGTTGACGAAACACACAAGTATTTATTCTTTTAGCAGGCACCACCCGCAGACACAATAGCTCAGCCCTCTGAATTAGGAACTGCTTCCCTAACCGCACTTGCTAAATGCAGTTACGCAGCAATACAGATATCAGTGTTATGTTAGAATGTGGTCCACAGTGTGTTAGCCTATTGCAGTCAAAGTTGTAGTGGTGTTAGAACGAAGTAATCCCTCACCAGGTGACTAGAGCGTGGCTCTAACCAGCCCTGACCTTGGGTACTTGAGCTAATTCCCACCTTGCCCTGGCTTCATTTCCCTGTCATGGACGCCCATCATATACGGCTCCTATCCCAGAACACGAGGGGTGGCGGCCACCGGGCCCCTTCTGTGCCTCTCCAGCCCCCACACTGTTAGGACTTGGACCTCTGTCTCCCTGGCGTCCACCTCCCAGGCCAGAGCTGCTGCCACGCGGAGATGCCGCAGCCTCCCCGCCTGCCACTCACAGACCCGCGAAACTGCACCAACCTCTTCCTGGCGCGTGGGACCCCCGTCGGCGCCCTGCCCTCCCGCCGCCCAGCACACACCCGGCGAGGTTCTGGCGGGGTGGGACACCTGGTGGCCATCTGAATGGGGTCGCTCGTTCCTCTTACGGCCCCTGCGGGTTCTGTGTTGCCGATTTGTGTTTGAAGCATATTAAAATGAACCTGAGGGACCTCTGTGACATGCACTTGATGTGACCGTTGGCCTGGCCCTCCCAGGCTGCAGGAGGTCCGGTGGGGTCAGGCAGGGAGGTCAGAAGGCCGGGCTCCCCTTGTGTGTGTGCGCCGGCTGGCCGTCACTGAGTCTCCCCCCCCCCCCTTCTCGGCGGACTCAGGATCCCCGCACCCGTCTTCCAGCCCGGATCCTTCAGCAGCCTTGCCCAGGCTTTGGGGGCTCAGCGGCTCTGCTCCGTCTCCCCCGTCCTGGGGAGGCCCGGGTGGGTTGGAGGAGGTTGGAAAAAGGACACGAGATTGAGGCCAGTCCCCTCACCGTCAGAGTCGAATTCAGACGTGGACCTATTGCTTCTACCCCAGAGTGAGCTCGGTCTGTCCTCAAGCCCGTCCCTTTGCACCTGGCTGGTCACAGAGCTCTCCTCTCAGAGCACTGGGAAAAGGCCCACCCGGCTTGGGGGCCCGTGGTCATAGCACTGCCTTGTCACACGCTTTCTCATGCCCTCGGGGTTCTCGGGGGCCAGGCCACGCCCTGAACCTAAACACGCTCACTTCCCCCACCAGGGCCTTCAGCCTCGGGGCCTGCCTGCCTGGGGTCGCAGGCTGGTTCCCTGTGGGGTTTGGAGGGACCTCCGGAGACTCCAGCCACTCTGCCCTCCCGAACCACTGCCGGACAGGAGCCCCTTGGCAGGTGATAAAGCCCCTTGAGTTACTCCGGACCCGCCGGCACCACTGCCGGACCCCCTGGGTCACCCACGTGTCCAGGTTATTGGCGATGGCTGCTATTCATGATCTGCTTGTCAACCCGTCCCAACCTGTTCGTTTCTTCTGGCGTCTTGTGCCACCACCTTTTATCGTACCCACCCTGCATTGTCCTCGCCGTCAGCACAGCCGCTTAACAGAGGGGCGCTGGCGCCCGGCCCACGGAGGAAACCAGGGTGGAGGGGCCTCGCATCCGTGGAGAGCTGTGTCCCGCACAGCTGTCTTGCCGTGGCAGAGAGCCTTTTGAAGTCAGCGCTCGGTCCCCGCTGTGCCAAGGGAGGCCACGGCCGGCTCTCCCTGCCTGCGAGGCTGGAAGGAGTGAGGAGAGCGAAGCTCAGGTAGAAGTCGGGGGGGCAGGGCGTCCCACCCGCTGCTGGAGGCTCTTCTCACTCCGTGGCTGCATCCGGGAACGGGCACCCTCGCATCGCATCCCTGCATCCCTTGTAGGCAAGAGGCAGGGTCCTGCCCGCTGGGGAGTTTGGGTCAAATGCTCTAAACAGTCACCACCACTATCACAGGCTAGAGCTCATTCGCTTAAGTTTGCTAAATTTTTTTTTTTTTTTTTGAACCTGTCTGCTTTTCTCAAACCTCTTTAAAAACAAAAGCAGGACACCTCGGGTTTCTTGAACGCCCAGCTCTGTTCCTTCCCCCTCAGCATGGGGGACATGCAGGTGAATTTGCCTCCCTCACCAAGTCTGGGCGAGTTTTCCAGAGACAGGACCACGCGGGATAAAGTGCTGTGCAGCCTAAGCTGGGCCCTCCCGTCCCTGCGGGATGCCCGGGTCCCTCCCCACAGACAACCCGGACAGGCTCAGCTGCTGCTGTCTGTTTCAACTGCACCCGAATCCACGTAGCAGGGGCTGCGTTAGCAGACGCTCAACAAGTAACCGCACGGCTTCAAGGAGTAAAGATGTAAAGCGTCCGTGGGAAAGTCCGACCGCGCAGCTTCTCCCGGCTCCGCACCTCAGTCCTGAGTGCCCGCGGATCGGTGATGCGAAGGAGGCCAGAGCTCACGTCATCAGCGGACGTACCACCTGCTTTATTCCCGAAGCCTCTCTCACATCGCATTTTTTCTGACCGTATTTATGGCTTGGTGGACAGGCTTATACAGTAAAGCGAAACGATGCCCCTTGGAAGAGGGGCGGACAGGGCTACCCCGGGGAGGTGTCCCCGCCCTCCCGGCCGTCTGGTGGCTGAACAGCACCCCCCCGAGGAGTCCGTGAGATTCCTCCCCGCTGCGGAGGCTGGGCTGTCCGTCTGACTCACCAGACGTGTTTCATCACCAACTTGTGCTCCAGGTAACTCCCCACCCCCAGGCCTCCGCCCCCCCCCACCCCTCCCACCCCCGTCAGGGTTTCCTAGGAAACTGCCCGGAAGCCTGGCGGGGGCGCTTCAGGCGCCCGGCCGCTAGGTGGCAGTGTGGCGCCACGGGACTGGCCGCACCGCGCCGAGGCGGGCTCCCGGGAAGACTTGCTCGGGGGCGCTCGGGGAAGCCGGCCCGTCTACAAGTCGGGGTCTGGGCTCACGGGCGCCTGACAGTTGTCACAGATCGCCTTGGGGGCGGGGGAGGGCGGGGCGGCTGAGGGCAGGAAGGGGCACCCTGCCTGCGTTCGTCCCCGCAGAGCCCTGGGGAAAAGGAGGGAAAGCGTCCACGCGGTCCAGGCCTGGTGGGTGGTTCACCAAGCGGCCCACAGATGCCCCTCACGTCCCTGATGCTGAGCGTGCGGGGCCGGCAGCAGACCTCCCAGGGTGTTCACGCCAAGCCTCAGGGCCTGGGAATTCAGGCCCCCTTGACTGAGTGTGCCTCCTGCGTAAGAAAGCGCTTCCTTTCTCAAGCGGGGCGGGCGGTGGTGAGAGATCAAGGATTATGAGAAGAGCTACAGCCCTCCCCATACCCTCCCGCTCCTGCGCGCACCCCACCCTCCAGATGGGTGGCGGGCGTGTGGCGGGCAACACAAGGCCAGTGCCCAAGGCAGAGGGGTTTGCTGCACTGACACCCAAGTCCTTCTGCAAACGAGCAGCGTCATGCCCCGCAGACCCACTGGCAGGAAGACCTCTGGGCCCAAACCCAAGCCAAGTCCGGAAAAGAGTGCAAGGTGGGGAGACAGCATCAGAGGATCCTAAATGAGGGTCGAGGGGTTCCCTGGCCGAGGCGCTAAAGCCGGAATGAGGATCTCCACCAAACGGCTGAAGGAGAACGAGGCAACGCGACATCCTTCCGGTTGTGGGGAAGCAGGCAGATTCTCAAGAAGCAAAGAGCAGGATCTGAACTCCCTGCGGGGCACCCACCCCGGGGCACCCACCCCCTCCGCCCCCCAGAGCTGCCGGAATTCCTGAGATCACACTGAGCACGCCCAGGCCATAGACGGAATTTATTAGGATTTGCGGAAGCATGAGAGGATGTACCACGAAATAGCCTGACTTTACAACATGAAGTACGGTATCAATGCACAGTGTTGTCCAGCAAAACTGGGATACAGAGCAGAGGTTCACATTTTTTAAAGGAGATGGACAACATCTACTCTTGTCCTTAAAATAAAAACGGAGGGGGGGGGGGGACCAGCAGAGGCCAATCTGATTTGCAGTTAGTGTCAGAATCTAAATCTAGTATCACAATTATAAGAAACTATAAGAAAACTATTAGAAAAATAGAACATCAAACAAGCAAAAATATTATACAATTTACATAATAAAAAACACACAATTCTCTCAATAATGGCTCCACGTTCAGTAGAAGAAAGAGTGTACTGAAGAAACCACAGCTCTTCAGGTTTGATTATAAACCAACCCTCAAGAAGACCATCACCCTTTGTGCTCCTTAGACCCATCAATGCTGAAAGGCACGACGTAAGCAGGAAACTTATCTTAAATATATAACTTCTCCAATGGGAAAATAAGTCCCAAACTTAAAAAGTTTGTCATCAAGAAACACAAAATCATATACCTTGTTAATAATTTAACAAAGTCTGAATGCATCTCCCCAGCCCTCCTCCCTGACTCTGGAGAAATCCCATTTGGACTTCAAGCCAAGGTCTTTTATCTCACGGGGGTTTTCAGCAGTTCAACACATTTACAGGGTGGGCCAGGGGGGGCTCCGGAGAACTGCGCCCTGAGACCCTTGGCCAGTCCACACCCCTCTTGGAAGAGCACTGCCAGCCAGCGAAGCAGCGGGCACAGAAAGACTGGGCCATAGTGATGAACGGGAAGGTCAGTTGAGTTTTTTTTTTCTGCCTTAACCTCCCATTAGGTATTGTAACTACGATGACGAGATACAGAATGTATGTAGCTTCTTGCACCACTGGACCAATAAAGCATTTCATTACCCAAAAAAGTCCACAAGAGTCTGATAAAATGTACATCTTGCTCTCCCTAAGGAGCCTTACATACAATACTCTCATTACCAAGGCAAACAGATGCATTTTAAATTACACCTAACAATTACGCACAACATATATTTAGTTCCGTCTGAAGTTAACTCACACAAGCGTCACACGCCTGCGCCCAGAGTGTGCTCACGCCGGCCATGCCTCTCCATCCATCCTACAACACTCGGGCCACCGGGCCTGGCACCAAGTCCCCTCCCTCCTGTCTCCACGGGGCTGGTTCTCGGGTGCCAACAGAACAAGCGGCTCTTCATGTGTCAAAGCGGGGCATCCAGGTCAGGAAAGACAGGTCCCAGCATGAAGCCAGGCAGCTTTTCTCCAGCAACGAGGCCCCCTCAAATGCCCGTGGGCTCGCCGACAGTCTGGGTGGGGCCGTTAGGAGACGTGTCCACACACCCGATGCTGACAGCTCTGCCTACAACGTCAGGCTAGACGCCATCCTAGGCGGGACGGCAAGACCTGTCAACTCACCCTGCCTGCCCGGAGGACGAGGTGGAGGAGAGAAGGCCAGGTACAGCCCGGTTCCCCCCCCCACCTCCCCCCGCTGCCTCCCGCCGTCCGCCCCCCTGACGCCATGCACAAAGCACAGCAAACACTTAGCGAGGCTCCTGCTGGGCCCGCGCCCCTCCCAGGTGTGAACAGATGTGTCAGAGGTGGAGGAGGGAGTGCCGCGGGCCCGGGGGCTCCGGGTGGGCACAGAAGCCTCCGCAGTGCTGCAGTTGCCAGTGGACACGGCAGGGCAAGGCCTGTGGTGTCCAAACTACACGGAACCAGGAAGCCGACCACCTGATGGACACGGACTCAACGGAACAAAACCCAGCGTGGGGGAGACCCAAGTGACCCTGACGACAGTGTAAACTCTGCAGCTTCTCCAAGTCGGCCTGGAAAGATGCTCCGTCCCGCGGCCCTCTGGGTTTGTAAAGGCAAAGCCGGCCCAAAGTCGGGCAGAGGAGATGTGAGCAGGTGAGCTGGGGGCCGTGCGGAAGCTTGAGCTCCTGCCCGAGGCCTCCATGCCCCCCCCCCGGGGCGGGGGGTGGCTCGGGGCCCACTGCCTCTCCGGAGACCCCGCGCCCCTCACTCTTTCTTTGGCACAGGTCCCGGGGACCCCGCGTGGGTTTTCACAAGGCCGTGGACACGCAGAGAGGGGGCCGCGGGCGGCAGGAAGGGGCGCTTCCCCATCACAAGCGGGTCTTTCCAATGTGACCGTTTGGGGCTGGTGCACAGATAAAAGGAGACACGGTATCCCCCGAGGGGCGCGTCACTGGAAATGTGGAACTTCTGACTCTGCAGGAAAACGTAGCCAAGCCGTGGAACCGAGTGCGGGAGGGGCTGGGATGTGAAACCGTCGGGCACTTCCGGCAGTTACTTTTGGCCGTGTGTCTGTGTCCGTGTGTCTGTCTGGCAGGTCTTTGTGTGTACGTGTTTGTGCGCGTGTCCAGCTCAGGGCCAGGAAGGAGGGGTGTGATCAGAAGGCCCACTGGCTTCGGAGGCGCCGCCAAACACCATTCCTGGCAGCACCGCCCCACGCACAGAAGAGAAAACCCTCGGCAACGGCATGAAGACCCGCTCTCAACAGGCCCCGCCCGTCCCGGGACCCCAGGTGCTCTTTCCGGGAGGGAGAGCGGGGGGCTTCTCAAGGCAGCCACTGCCCTTCTGCGCGGCGCCTCGCGGCTCTGGGTGAGGAACGGGACCACGTGTCAGGACGCGCTCGCCCCGTGAGATGCTGAGACACACCTTCTTGGCTGGAGAGCCACGAGCGCTGCTGGCTGAAGCGTCAGTCGTGCCGTCTGCTGGGGGGCGTCACACGGGGAAATGTCAGCCAGAACGAAAAAGAGAAAGAACACCTCAACCTGCCACCTTTCTGGGACACCCTCTCTCCCTCGCGCTCTCTGCCTCTGTGGAAAAACAGCAGACACATCATGCAAACCAACGGCTAAGAGGCCCCAGAGGACGGCAGACACCAAACCGCACAAAACACGTTACTATTTATCACGATGTCGTGCTAAGCACCAAGCTACATAAATTAAATACCTTTCTTTGGAAATCCAAGCTTTGGGCTCTTACAACCCTCCCGCTGGAAGATTCACAAGTGACACTGAGAATAAAGCTTCCACGAGCGACCAGAGTGGCCACCAGAGCCTAGAACGAAGGCCGACCCTGCCAACTGGCTGCTTCACTCATT